ACTCTCCTCTAAGGAACCATCATGGGACCTCAGCAAGAGCCATTAGCATTAGTTAAGCACTGGAAAAGCAGAAGCATGAAGCAATCAAAAGAGAAGCCTTGAGCCAAGTGCAGTGGTGCACACCTGTAATCCCAATGGCTCAACAGGCTGAGTCAGGAGGATGGCAAGTTCAAAGCCAGCCTAAGCAACTGTGAGATCCTGTCTCAAAATAAAAAAAAAAATAAAAAGAGTTGGGGATATGGACCAGGGATTAATCACCATTGGGTTCAATCCCTGATAACAAAATATAAAAAGAAGATTGAAGGGAGAGATGCAGTGGAGAAAAGGACTTGAGTAGTCATTTCTCCAAAAGATGATTACAAATAGCCTATAAGCACATGAAAATATGTTCAACATCAATAATGATTCAGGAAATGCAAATAAAAGCAACAATGAGTTGCCACCTTATGTCCATTTGGATGGCTATAATTAAAACAAACAAACAAACAAAACACCAGAAAATAACAAGCATTGGTGAGGATGTGAAGAAACTGGGCTTTTGTGCAGAGTTGGTTAATGGGGAGACGAAAAGGTACAGCTGCTGTGGAAAACATTATGACTGTTCCCCCAAAATTGAAAATAGAATTGCCACAGACCCAGCAAGTCTACTTCTACGTACATATCCAAAAGAATTAAGAAAAGTTCTTGAAGGAATATTTGTACACCCATGTTCATAGAAGAATTATCACAAAGCTAATACATGGAAGCCACCAAGGAATAAACAGAATATACAATGGAATGTTATTCAGCCTTTAAAGGGAAGGAAATTCTGGTATTTCATAATACAGATGAACCTTTAGGACATTATGCAAATAAAATAAACCAGACACAAAGCAACAAATACTATAGGGTCCCATTTTTATGAAGTACTTAGAGTAGACAAAATCATAAAGGCAGAAACTAGGAAGGTGACTTCCCAGGGCTAAGGGGAGGTGAAATGGGGGTGGAGGTTCTTCTCTAATGAGTAAAGAGTCTCAGTTTTCCAAGAAGAGAGGGTTATGGAGATGGATGATGGAATGACTTATAATGTAGTCTACTTACTACATTAAGCAGTAAGTGGACTATACACTTAAAGCTGGTTAAGATTCTAAGTTTTATGTTATGTGTATTTTGCTGTAATAAAAACATTTTTTTATTTGGTTAAAGAAAAAAAAAGATGCCTCAGTCACTACTGGAAGGCCACCTAAAAAATATTGCCTGGTCAACAAGGCTGCCTTAAGGTATGCACCAATCACAGCCCATAAACTGGTGCATGCTACCATATTAGCAAGGTGGAATAAAAAGAGTTAGTCATTAGGCATCTCCTCACCTAGAAAGACTTAGAAATTGGAATTTATAACACTGCATGATGGGCCACTCATGTCTAACCACTGATTAATTACAGTGTCAACTTCTTTCTAAAGAAACTCCAGAAAAACACAAAGTTAAAGTTAACCTCTTTGACTAAGTAAAATAAACTTCAGCCAGAGAGAATGAACTCCATATGATAAAAACAACTTTGCTAAAGTTTGACACAGTGGGAAAGCAGAAGTGTCAGTAACCCATGAGACATCACAGGCATTTCAAAAAAAAAAAATTAAAGCTGAGAGAAAGAAAGAGAGAGAATAAAACCATGTGGGTGTTTGGAAAAGTAATACAGCAACTGAAAAATCCTTGCTATCAGAGTCAATTAAAGAAACAGTTAATACACACACACACACACACACACACACATACACACACACAAATCCCAAGACATCTATCACTTGGCAGATGGAAAGAATCAAGAAGCTGAATCAATATTATTTTCACTCACATCAAAATTCTACTTTCTCTTAGGAAAAAGGGGAGAGAGAGGGAGGAAACAGAACAAATGACAAGCAAATAGGTTTGAAAGGCAAAATGTTTCCTGCTTGTGCATTTCCTGGTTTCTGTCCTGGGATGTTCACCCACCTCTGAACCCTAAAGAAAGCATCAATGGGCATGTCCAACTTTTCTCTTTGCTTTTGCCTTTTGAGCAGTGATGAAGTCATGAGGGCTCCACTTTCCTGACCAGCTGGCTTTTTTTTTTAATATTTAAGATAAGCAATTATTTTATTTCCTTATCCTGACAGTAGTGACTTCATTATACAAGAACCAGTAGCTGGCAGAACAGATACACAGATTTCCCCCAACAGGAAGAATCCTTATTATCAGCAGAGATGACCTGAAATGTCATGTCTGAGTGCAATTCCTGCTCCCTACCCCCACCCCACAAAAATCCCTCAGTGAAAAAAAAAAAATCAATAAAATCCCCACGGATTACTAAGCCATCCCTCTAGAATTTTTCTAATTAGCAGCTTCAGTGGATGAAAATTTAAGGAGGGAAGCAGCTGGCCATCACATAGCATTCCTGTGCCTGAGAGACTGAAGGGACAGCAGCAGGGCAGCAAGAATTCTGGATGAGTGGGAGGTGAAGATAATCTATCTTTCCTCCATCTGCCCCCTCAATATGGAAGACACCTCTGTCCTAGTACATGGAAAATGCGAAAGATATAGTAAAGGATTGGCTTTAGCTTGTAACTAGAAATGCCTGAGGCTCATGAAATTGCAAGATAGGTGTGGGATAAGGGGTACTAGAGAAAGAGCAGGTTTGTCAGAGATGCTCGATGCTCATTCAATTCCACTTTAAAGCCATCAAAGCGACTTTGTAGTCATAAGCACTTCATGCTTGCCCTGTATTCTCCAAAAGTAAGAGAGTTCCATGTAAATGTCTGTGTGGGTGTGTATTACCACCACCAAGATGATACTGTGACACTTGTGTGTGAGAATAGCATGAGGGTGTGGGGTGCAAGCGGAAAGATGGGAGCAATCAGGGGCTACAAAGCTTCCATTAGAGTGGATGTCTTTGGGTCCCCAGGTATGGTCTACTACCACAAGTCCTAAAGCATTCCTGTTTCCTTTTCCCTATCCGTCTTGTGTAAATGTAAAAAAAAAAAAAAAAATGGAATTTCTGCCCAAAGAGATGGGAGTTGTTGCTGGACTGCATTCATTTCAAGCCTCAGCATGCCCACCTCCTGAACCTCCTATGAAATTGCACAAAAATTAATTCTCAGCACTGCTGTGATATTATGTCATCCCCATTCCTCTACCAACGTCAATCCAACAGCTCTGCCCTGACTTACTTTCTCCTTGGAACCAAGAAACAGCAAAAAACACCAACTGAGCATGTGAAAATATGATGACAGTGTGTGCCGTGGTGGGAGCCCTTCCTCTCTTCCCCCCAAGCTCCACTGGCACCCCCAAGTCCAGGTGCTCCTGGGCTTCGGCACTCACTCCCCATAGATACTCTCATCACTGTAGGCCACATATAGAAAATAATCTTCCTCTTGTTCTCCTAGGACAGCTGGCCCATGGTGGCACAAGTAGGAGGGAGAGTGTTGTTGATGAATAAGGCGCCCTCAGGTCTCCTGTGGATCTGCTTCCAGATTCAGAAGTAGAACTGGCCAACAGCAAGGTAAGAGGGCACCAGGTACTTTCTCTTGCCCGGGTGAGCCCCTCTGGCTTTCAGAGCCTTATCCTGTCTGAATATTTCTTCTGGATCTTTTCTCCTTCCTTTTTCTGATACTCAAAAAGATGATCCTTCTTATAGTGGAATTTCATGATGCACCATAGGATTTCTTTTTATTTTTCTTTTTTCTTTCTTTCTTTTTTTCTTTGGTACCAGGGATTGAACTCAAGGGCACTCAACCACTGAGCCACATCCCCAACCCTATTTTGTATTTTATTTAGAGACCGGGTCTCACTGAGTTGCTTAGTGCCTCGTTTTTGCTGAGGCTGGCTTTGAACAGGAGCTCTTTCTGCCTCAGCCTCAGGAGTGGCTGGGATTACAGGCATGGGCCACCCCTGCCTGGTGGACCACGGGATTTCTAAGATCCCAGGATGGGGTCTGCCTCCCTCACTGGTGATTGCGTCTGTCATGTCTTGCTACCTCTACTGAGGTCAGTGTTATCCAAATCTCTCCACTAACTCGGCCCCTGTTGCAACACTATCTGGCCCAGTGTTTGTTAAGGGATCCCTTTCCAGTTTGATACTCTTATAAAAGAGGTTACGGGAACATTCTAGGCCTTTTGGCCTAGAATCAGCCAGGTGAGGAGACAGCAACAAGGCACCAGAGTAGAAGCCCAGACCAAACCTTCATCAGACACCAAATCTGCTGGTGCTTTGATCTTGGACTTCCGGACCTCCAGAACTGACAGAAGTAAATTTCCCTTATTTATAAATTACCTACTCGAAGGTATGTTGTTAAAGCATCAGGAACAGACTGAGACACTCTTAAAACTCAGTTTATGGTGCAGAGTACAAATCATGAAAATGCATTTGGAAGTCAGATTCAGACCTTGTCTGATCACATCATTCTCCTGGAGGTTTGGCTTACTCATCTGCTGTATGTCATGAGGTGTCTGTAAACTTACTTTGTTGTTAACTCTTATAGCTGGGAATTTTAAGTTTACTGTTGTTTTCAATAATTCTGTTACAAGGATGACTATAGGCATTATGTGGACCAAAGGGTTACCTCATTTTTCTACAGCCTACAAAATATTTAAGAGAAAGCTTTACATTGAGGAACAAGACATAGGTTTCTAATCCTTTTCAGAATTATATGGCTCACTGGAAGCTAAAAATATCATGTCCTGAGTGAAATTATATGTTTATGAACCTATATATAAAACCACATATTCAGGAGAGAGTCAAATGCTCTTTTTCTCCAAATAATTTATTTCATTATTACTTGCAAGTATAAAAAAGTTGAGATATATGTAAGATGGATACTGCACCAAACCTACATGTGCCATTAAAAATGTATTTTTATTTTACAAACAATTATACAACCCTAATTATATATAAAGAATATTTTTAAAGCTCTATAAATATTAACTTACTTAATATTCATTTCTATAAGGTCAAATATTCCTAGTTACTTATGAGAAAACGGGCAGAAATCAAGTAATTCTCTTAAAGTCACACTATTAGCAAATTGTAGGGTTAAAATTCAGTCTAAGACACTTCACTCCAAAGTTTCTGTTCTTACCTACTAAATTATGCTGCATCATTGAAAAAAAATTATTTTAAAGTTTCTTGACATCATCTAAACTGGAAACTGAACTCACTAGTGTCAAATAAGGTACTGGGGGTATTTGGGAGCCAACAAGCAAGTCAGAATGATTTCCCTAATCTCCTCTTGACTGCTGGAATTGTGTAAGTACTTAATCCTCTTCATGCTGAGTATTAATCTTTAGCAAGTGGGTGTCTCCTGAAAATTCTGAGGGATAAACTAAAGTGGGTTTTACAGGCAAAAGCTATATTTTAATTGCACTCTCTGGATTAGAAGAAGAATGAATGAGTAGGTTTGGGGCTACAGTAGAGTCCCCTCCCAATAAGCTTCCCTTCCAGTAGGCTTTCTACAGCTTTTCCAAGGCTGTTTGAGCATAAGATGCCTTCAAACCTATGAACATAAGGTTGCAATGACTATTATTTAGAAGTGGCCCCTTGCATGGGATTATTGAAGGGACTTAAGTAGCTAAATCAGAGTTCTGTGTTTTCTTTGCAAATATTAGAACTATCTTTCCCTGTCATGTTTATCTGAAAGTTTAAGTTCACTGGAGTAAAACACAACAAGGTAATAAATGCCTGAACTGAAGCATAAAGGGGAATATTTCTCCTTGAGAAGGGACCTCCATCTTTGATATCTCAGCTAACATAGGTCTTTGCAACAGGATGGGTTCAGGAAGTTCAGGATCAATGCTGTTGCATCTTCAGCAGAAGACTGAAGACCTTCAATGTTATTTTATTTTTGGAGCAGGACACATACTAGGGATTGAACCCAGGGGCACTTCACCATTGATCCACATCCCTAGACCTTTTTATTTTGAAACTAGGTCTTGCTAAGTTGCTCAGGGCCTTGATAAGTTGCTGTGATTGGCTTTGAATTTGTGATCCTCCTGCCCCAGCCTCCTGAGCCTATTGTACCACCATGACCAGCTCAGTCTTTTTGAATAGGTGAATTTTAGTTCATCAAATGAGCCAATTCTGGTTACTCTTTGGAGGAATATGCATAACCATGCTTTCTATGCTTTTCTTTAGGTTATTCAGAAGAAAACAAGCTATATACAGCTCCATTGATAAAAAAGACAGACATGAAGTTTGAGAAAACTAGTCCCTTTTAAACCTCCAAATAAACAAAGCATCCCTTCTTTCTTCAGAACCAAGGGCAGTCTAGATCCAGAAAAACTTCATTTACTTAGAGCCATAACTGGGGTCAGCTTCTGTTGGACATGGGGAGGGACACAAGGGAGAGTTGCTAGGACTATTGTTATCCAGTGGGAAGAAGTAGAATGTCCAAAGAAAGGATGTAAGAATAGAGATATAAAGCATAGAACACTGTAGAGATGGAGAAATTTTGTTGAAAGATAAGATGTCCCATATGGGACACCATCCCAAGGCCTACTGAGTCACTGTTATGTCTGATTTCTCCCCCAATCTCTCACTCTCCTTCTAAGGGTATGGATTAACTGGATGAAGTCACAATTTCCAGTCCTCATATTCCATACTAGACTGGGATACCTATTTTAACCTTTTAATATGAAAAGTGGTACAGAGATATTTGGTGTGGAAAAAAAGTGAGGTGCTAGTAAGACATCTAAAAAAAGAAGGTTCTGACTGTTAGGTCAGTGGTGGCGACTTTGTGGTGACTTAGTGGCGACTTAGAACAAAGCAGCCCACAGGGGAAAAGAACATCAATCAGATGCCAGCGGAAATGCCTGTCAATCAGCAAGATCTCCTGACTAACGCCTGTCAATCAGCAGGACCTCCTGGCCAATCCTGGAGTTCAGCCAACTCCCCTGACCAACTCCAAGGGGGCAAGGGACCCTAAAAACACCTTTTCCTGTCCCAAGCCCTTCCCTTCCTGCTGTAAGCCCCATAAAAGTCCAGTCAGGTCAAGCTTCCACGCGGTTTCTCCTCAGACCCTTCTCCTGTCCACTCTGTGGGTCTGATCGAGTTCTGTCTGGGAGTGATATGTCAATAAAGCCCCATTTAGTGGCCCTTTTAAATCTGCCTCCTTTGGTCATTGTCCACCTCTCCTGATCTGACACTGACTTGTAACATTTGCCAATTCTCTTGGTGTAAACCTTCGTTATTGCTGATTTCAAGGTACCAGGATGATATCACTGACTGCAGAATCCAGAGTCATCATCTTATGAGCAAATATCTAGCCATAGTAGACCACACCAATGGTTATTCAGAATAGATCCTCACCTGCTTTAGATCAGCAGCCTGTTTAATTGTGTACTGAACCAAAATGTCTACAACTCAGAAGATGATACACACTTGAAGACTGTAGGCTATTATCCTTGACCTTTATTATTCTCCAGAAACTATGAAGGAGATGAATGAAATTCAGGTAATGGTCATTGAAATATAAGGTGTTTGTATGTTTCCAATTAGTGTAAGAGTAACATTACTCCCTATGTTCACACAGGCCAAGTAGTTTTCTTATCCTACCCAGGTGTTGAGATCGACCCAACCAGAAAAAATGAGTCCAAGAGTAAGCAAGAGTACTTCATTTCTGGAAATGACTATAAGAGGCAGGGTTAGAGAATAGAGTCTTTATCTGTAATCAAGTAGCTTCCAAATAGGAAACTCCCTGAAATTAAGGGACAAAGGGAGAATTGGCACTTTGAAAATGGGAAGCGTGAACTGTAGGCACAATGAGTCCCAAGGGAGTTTAGATGGAGGAGATGTTGGGAGAATGTCTTAAGACCAGATACCTATCCTGACATAAGCAGAAATAAACAAGAGCAGGGCTCCTGAACCTTCCTGTGGTTCTTGGTCCTACTAAGGGGTGATAACTGCAAAGTGAAACAGCAGAAGGAAGCGTTGCTTCAAAGAACATCTTTGCCCAAGAAAGAAGGGAGAGGGAGAGACTGATTCCCCTATGTAAGTCGTTCATCAGGGAAGTCATCCTGTAGGCCAGGCATGCCTCACTAAAGACTGTCTCCAGGTGAAGGGGGAGAAAGATATCAGCCCCACACTGCTATGATGCCTCACCTATTTTTGCTTCAGTCTATGGTGCTTAATCATTAAACTTTTGGCCCTGGGGGAATTTGACTGCTCCCTGAGGGAAGAAGATCAGCCCAGGCCTACAGGGAAGGACTGTCTCACTTTCCACCTCCCCAGGCATGAATCTCTGCTTCTTTGTGAATTTCATGAGACTGCTGAGAGGCAATATATAATTTGTCTCCATAAAGTTCAGAAATTATTCATACCAATTAATTAATTAGGACAATCCCACAGCTATTTGGTTCCCAAGGCTGAAAATTTGCTCTATATTTTATTTCCCATTCCAAATTATGTCCAGCCAGCATTTCAGAGGTGCTGCAATAAAAACAAATGAATAAAATGTCAACCACATAGATATACCCGGAATTTGATTATTAAAACTTCTCCCTTAATTCAATTCCCAAGATAAATTACAGTTCAAAGATTAATATGCTTGCTTGTTAAAGTCCATGATTCATGCCTTCTAATTTCATATTCTGCTCATCTCCAGTAAAGGGGTTATTACGGAGTCTGCAACTTCACCTGTAATGACCTCCTACAGAGTTCTCTGGAACAGGGTGTTGGAGAAGCTGCCAGCCCAGTTGGCCTCCCTCCCTCTGGTCTTACAGCCTCATAGACTGATGCTAACTAAAGCCCATTATTCCTTGCCTTGAATTCCCACGTAACCTGTTCATACACTTTCTCATATTTTGTGTCTTTGCTGCCCCTTCTTAGTTTCCAGTTCTTTCCTTCTTTATTAAACAAAAACAAACATGGATTTGGGATAGAGTTGAAATGCATAAATATACAATTGCTTTATCTTCAGCTTTGAGATAGTTACTGAATTCAGTGGAGTATTCTCCCAGTTACTCAGAAGGAGCTCACAAAGTAGACTTTTTATAGAGTGTCATATCTGTTAGTAAGTAAGGCTAAAACCTAAAAGATTCTCTTTCTTGGCTGTTAGAAAAGCACAGAACTCTATGATTCATCTTTGCTAGGATGGACTGATGTCAACTACCAAGAATTGCCTCCTCTTGCCTTCTGAGTATTTCTAAGCATTAAATATGTTAAGACCAAATAAAGTGGGAGGAGATGAATTTTTAAGCTGTGCTTCATGAAGAGAACTTTGGTGGCATTGTCCTTAGGGACTATGGCACATAATGAGACCCATTTGTTTTTCAAACATTGCTTCACGGAGAAGGGAAGTAGTTTTACTTAACCAAAACTATAATATCAATTTTTATGCTCTTCTAATCATTTCTACTAACCTTGATAAATAATTTCTGACATTTAAAACGTACCTTTCAAATATCCCTTCTCATTTATTTTGTTTTGTTTTGTTTTGTTTTTGTTTTTGTTTTAATTTTTATTGTTGGTTGTTCAAAACATTACATAGTTCTTGAGATTTCATATTTCACACTTTGATTCAAGTGGGTTATGAAAAAACATAGTTTTGGAAATACCTATCCCTCCTGGCCCTATTGCAAGAAGGCTCACTTTTTAAATAATCGCTTTTACTATAAAAGTAGAACATGAATATTAAAGAAAATTTGGAAACTCAGAAATGTAGTAAGGAAAAAAAAATACACATCCAGTCCTGTAACCCAAGAAAAAACATTGTTAACATTTTAATGTTTTCATTTGTGAATTTTTCTATTTTTATGCCTATAAAGTATTCCTTGGATTGAAAATAGGTCAATTATCCACATTAAGCTAATCATTTAATGTTAATTCTAAATTGCAATTTCTTATTAGAATCCAATTCTAATATAAATCCCTACGGATTTCTTTTAGAAACTGATGTATTCACTCTAAATTCAACTACAAGTTTAACTGGATCAGACTATGTAAGAAGAAAATTTTGAAGCAGCTAAGAAAGAAGCAGTCTTGTAAAATACATTGAAATTAAAGACGCATGCACTCTTGGATCTAACAATCCAGTAGGGGAAACTTTCCATACAGTGCAGCACTTGTTTGCAAAGATGCATGTCAAAGGGTGTTCCGGAGGGGTCTGTGTCAGTTTGTTATCCAGCTGCAGGTGCAGAGAGTAGAATTCATGAGAGTGCTCAGTTCCTGACACATTCACTGCCATCATCCATGAATGGAAGGGCCGCCTCTTCCTTGGTTTTGCTTAGGACCAATTCTTGTTCTCTGTTTGACTCCTAATCCTCATTCCCTTTTCCTCCCTTGCCCTCCAATCATGCACCATATTATAAATATCCATTCCTTTAGGAATAACCCCCAAATTGCCTTAAACTCCTTTAAAAAAAATCACGTAGTTGTAGATGGAAACAATACCTTTATTTTATTTATTTTTATGTGGTGCTCAGAATGGAACCCAATGCCTCACATGTGCTAGGCAAGTGCTCTACTACTGAGCCATAACCCCAGCCCCTTAAATTCTATTTTATCTCAAACAATGCAACAATGAGCATCCCCATAAACTTTCCTCTATGGCCCTCTGTAAAAATCTAGATTGGACACAGGATGATACAAATATAAATCTATGTATTCTTATCTTCACAAAGTTCTTCTGAATTGTTTTCTATATTATTTGTATCACTTTTTACAACCACTTCTGGCCCAGGAGGTTAATTTCCTCTAATTCTCAGCAATAGTTGATATTCATTTTTGTTCATGTAATGGGGATAATGTAGTAGTTCACAATGGTCACAAGTCTTATGCATTTCAGTAGTTGTGGCCATTTGATTTTTCACTTCTAAGATTTGGTCCACTTTTTATTCTTGGTGCCCTGACTTTTTCCTAATTAGTTAGAAGAAATCCCTTAAATGTTATAGATTTCAATCTCTTGTCAGTCTGAGATTGGACATAATATCTTCCTCTTTTTCTGTTTATTAATGTTATCTACAGTGTTTTTTTGCTTAATAGAGATCTCATTTATGATGTAATCAAGTCTTAATTTTTCATATCATGATTTTTATTTTTTGAGGTTTTCTTGAAGAATATCCAACGTGACCTGAAATCATAAAGGTGACCTCTTACACTTTTTTCCTATTGTCTTCTGTTTGACAATTAGTACTTATAATCCACTAGAATCCATCTTCATATTTTACATGATACCTGGTTCTTCATACAATGAATTTCTATTAATAATCTGTGCTCTTTCCCATTGGTGTGGCACTATCTTACCCCTAATTTTAAAAGTTGACCTGACCGGCATACATTTCATCCAACAATGACAGACTCCTCCTCATTCTTTCAGGTATACGTAATACATTAAGAAAAAATGAACATATTTCTGGGCATAACTAAATGTAAAAAAAAAAAAAACCTTTAAAATGATTGGCATTATCCATTGTAAATTCTTTGATCATAATGATATCAAATTAAAATTTTAAATATAGAAATTAAATAATATACTTCCTAATAAATCTATATGTCATAGATGTTATCATAGTAGAGATTAGAAAAATATAGAACTGAATTATAATAAACAAGTGGAATGCAGGAAATTTATACCATAAATATACGTATACATATATATTATATATTTAGATGAAAGCTGAAAAATCAATTACCTAAGCTTCCATCTCAAAATTTAATTACATAAGCTTTCATGTCAATGAACTAAAAGAAACAATAAAATAAAAACAGCAAATCAAAGCCACTAAGAATAGAGGAAATGAGAAAGAGAAGAAATTAGTGAAATGTAAAACAAGAACACAAGGTGGAAAAACAAGTCTAACCCCAGTTATTTAAAATTTATTTATTAATCATAATAAGTTTTAAACAAAAAAATTTTAAGTCCATTATGATTAATAAATTATACACTTGAAAATTTCTTAAAAACTCTAATCATGAAAAATTCGAAAAATACTAATTACCAATATTAATGATGCAAAAGGGGATGTTACTACAGATTCTGTACACAAGAGGCAAATATATAACTTTGCACCAACAAATATACTTCATAATATATTAAAACTTTGATTTTAAAACTTCTCAAATGGACAGTATTAGAAGAGAAAAATATAATCTATTTCATGAATATGCATGCACAAATTCTTAGGAAAACATTATTGCTTAGCACTAATTTATTTTGTATTTACATAGAATTATGGCCAAATGATATTTATTCCAGAAATGTCATGCTGGTTTAATAGTTGAAAATCAAGGTAATTGTACACATTAACAGATTTTTTTTAAAATTATATGGTCATTTCAATGGATGCAGTAAGAGTATTTGTTGAAACTTAACATTAAATTATAATAAAAATCTCTAAACAAATAGAAGATAAATTCTTTATTTAATCAAGATTATCTGCCAAAACACATAGAATGCTACACATAATCATGAAATAGTGATAATTTTGCCTTGAAATTGGGCAAAGAGAGAAGAATATCACTCTTAACATTGTACAGTAGTTTCTACTTAAGGCATTAAGAAGAAAAAAGAAATAGATGGTGGATGTGAGAAATGGCACCAGTATTGTCCTCCTGTTAGAAATCAGAGCTACATGCACCTTCTATTGTGGGGTGTCCCTCAACAACTCTTCCCTTTTTCCCAATGTTTAGACCATTTGGGAAGCTTACCGGGAAGGATAGGCACATTGCCAACAATTGGTGATTTAGAATAAAGACAGGGTTTTGTGCCCAGGAAAGTTGAGTACTTATAGTAATTGGCTTCAACCTCTCTGCAGCCATTTGACCAAGAGTGAACATTTGGTCAGTCTCTTTCCTGAGAAAGTTCTGGAGGAAGGTAAAAAGAGACCTCCAGCATTCCCTGCAGTGGAAGGTCGAAGAATCACCTTCAGTAGAGAAGTTTGTCCCTGGTAAATAAGTCTTGGGGATACTCAAGTAGTTCTGATCATGGACAGGATTTATTCAACCCAGAGAACAGAGCAAGGGAACCTGAGCCACTGCACTGGTGGGTGTCCTTCAGTCTCTCTTATGTTGTCCCTTCATACCTCAATTTAGGGTTACAGCTATGAGACTGCTGTGCTTGAGAGAACTATGCAGAGTCATTCTTCTAGAAGTTCCATTATTTTCTACAAAATAGTCCTTTCTCCTTCTCCTTCTCCTTCTTCTTCAATTGTAGTACTGGGAATTGAATCCCATACTGGGAATTAAACTCTGCTACTGAGCTACATCCCCAGCACCCCACCTCTGACCATTTTTTTTTTTGAGACAGGTTCTTGCTCAGCTGTCCAGGCTGGGTTGGAACTTGTGCTCCTCCTGCCTCAGTCTTCCAAGTAGCTGGGATGACAGGTGCGTGCCACTGCATCCAACTATATCAAATAGTTCTTGAATAGGCTGAAATCCCTCTGGATTTAGAAATGTACAAAAATACCACATTATTCTCTTTTCTTTATGTGCTTTAATAGTCTAGGTAGTCAGAGTGGAAAAAATAAATATTTCTATTATTTTTACAATGGGAAAATAAATATTCAGTGCCGAAGTTTATAGAAAATTTTAATTTGGTAAAAATCATTCTATTCACTTACCTTCTCATAGAGGAAAAAAATAGATTTTCAATGAAACTTTTAAAAAATCATTCTTTATTCTCAGTAAGAGAAAATGCAAAAATCCATTAGGAATTTATGCTCCTCTTTATATGAAATGTTTCTGCAGACAATACTATATGAAGAAAGCTTCATATAAAAGAGAACTGAAAATTATCCTAATAAATATTCAGTTAGCAAAATACCCCAATCGTCAGATCCATATTTCCTTTATTTACTTGCAATAAAAACTGAAACAGTAGCTGAATGAAAGTATAGATCAAAATGAATTGTTTTGAAAAATTATAGAGACACTTTCTATCATAGAGGTCACATTCATAAAATGAACATGATCAAAACATGTTTTCTGTACTCAGTCTGACAATTTATCTTATGTCCTTTTCTTTGAGAATAAGAGTTTTTAATATAAAAAGCCCAAGATTTTAATTGTCCTTGTTTTTGTTCTGGCCAATATTTTTATTAATGACTGAAATGTGGATAGTAATGGTATGTGAAGCTAATAATCTTAGCCAAAGGTGTGAAGAGGATTAAGTTATCTGCCCTAGCTGGAGAAATACAAATTAATACAGAGAGTAAAACCAGGGTCCCAAATTGCCTGCTATATTGGATAGGAGCCTTTGCCTAACCACCTTCCATGTGCTTATTGGTTTGCAGTTTCAGTGGAAATCAGCAATGCTTTGTGACTTCTAAGACAGTTGATGTAATCTTAGTCTAACATGACATGGAGGGCAAGTAAAGTCATAGTCCTAATATGTACTGAGTCCATCAGAGTTTAGCTACATGACACAGTTCAGTTCTAGATCCAACTCAGAAAGGAGGGAGCCATAAGAATTGGAGCAAATTCAGAGGAGACAACTGAGATGGATAGACCTCAAACTATAGTCACACAGGGACCAGGTGAAGAGACATAGAAGACTCACAGAAGGCATGATAGGTGTTTTCACATCCTTAAAGTGCTGCCATGCTGTGATAGGACTAGACTGACTCCATTGCAGAGAAAAACTGGCTGCAATGAAGATCTGTGAAAGAATAGTCTGCCTATTGCCTCATCATTGAGGCATTCAAATAGACAAGCATATGTTAGGGATGTTTGGGGGCATGAAACATCTTTAGATGTTTAGAAATAGAAGGGCCAAGATGGGCGCAGTGGCACACACCTGTAATCCCAGAGGCTCTGGAGGCTGAGGCAGGAGGTTGGCAAGTTCAAAGCCAGCTCAGCAATTTAGCAAGGTCCTGTCGCAATCCCCTGTCCAAAAGATAAAAAAAAAATAGTGAGGCTAGATTGTTTTAGATTAGAGAATTGACCTGAACAATCTCTGCAATGCCCTCCACACCAAATTTCTACAAGGCTGTGCAAACCAGGTTTCCCTATGGTGTCCTCTCAACTTGTCACTCTGTCATCCCTTTTTCTGTGTATTGCCCACTTCACTGATCCCAGACAGAGCCCTTTGACTTCTTCTTCTTTTTTTTTTCTTTTTATATACATCCCTTATAGTACCATCTTGCCTCACAATGTATTTCTCTTTTTCTTTGTATTCGTTCCTCATTTGACTGTGAGTTCTGACATCATTGGGACAGGCTTTGGCTTCCTATCAACTACATGCCCTTTACCCAAAAGCTTTTTGTCAGATGAGTTCATGCATCTCTGTAAATACTTATATAAGCAACCCTGAGAAAAATAAAAGAATCTGTTGTAGTAAAAAGGAGTTGGTGAGAAATGTCAAATACTTGGTATGCAAAAATTAAGGGAATAAGCCAAAGCTTAAATGCTCCATTATATAACCAAATGACATTGTACTTGTGCAACGATTTCTACTGAACTCGAAAATATCCTTTACACATTGAGGAAACTAATGTCACTCGGAACACTGCTTAGGTTGAAAAATTAGAAATCAGGAAATCAGAAAAACAGAATAGGAACTTGTTAGAGTCTTGCTGGAGCCTCTGCAGTCTCATTATGGCGAATTTGGTATACTGGCACAAGCCCAATGCCAACAATTGTCAGTTTTCCAAAATCACTAAATAGAAAATCCTATCTAGACATTCCCTGGATTTGCAGCTTCTTGGTGGGGATTCTACTTAGGTGTACCTGAAACCCAGAATTAACTTGCAAATTTTTGATCTTTAATCTGCAGGGAGAAGTTGTGGATGGATGGTTCAGACTCTTCCATTGTTAGGCAAGCTGAGGCTACAGATGCAGCCCAGGGAGCTGTCAATCTTGCTCCTCACACTTACCATGTGGGGCAATGCAACAGTACATACTAAGAACAGATTTCTGAGACCAATATATTTGAGACTGTTGAAAAGAAACTTATTAGGAAAGGTCGTTGAGATGGCTGGCAGAACTAGAATATGCTTTGATGTCATTAATTAAAATTAACTTTAATTTTTAAATAACTTACCTGTGTTACCATTTATCCATGCACTTGCAGTTTTAAAAAATGAGTTGCATTTGCTGCCTAAGAGGCTCAGTCAAGATAGGGTATGTAGAGATGGTTGCAACTCCAATTATATTAGCTGTCAGGCTAGCTCTTTGTCTCCCACTCAAAGTTCAACTACTAACAATGGAGTGATCTTTGATCTGTGTTACAATCTCTAATTGCTGATGAATTAAAATATTTGCATACTTCAGTACTAGAGCACCAATTATCCCCCTCTAAATTCATCACAGCACTCCACTGTGTCTACACTAGGTGCAGGATTGCAGGGGTTCTGGATTCTGAAACTAAAATCTCCTAAGAAAAGGTTTCTTTAGTTATGGAAGCATCCTCACATCAGAGCCATTTGTTCTCAACATCAAAGGCCAAGACTTTAATCCAGGAATATGTGAGAGAATGATGAACAGGAACTCAGTTAGAGAGACACATCCCCAGAGCAGAAAAATTGAGGATCTCTCCTTCTCCTCTTCTTCCTCTTTCTTTTCTGCTTCTCCCTCCTCCTCCTCCTCCTCCTCCTCCTCCTCCTCCTCCTCCTCCTCTTTCCTCTCCTCTTCCTTCTCTCTGTTCCTCCTTCTCTCTCTCTCCCCTCTGTCTCAAGGAAGGAGAGAAGGCCTAAATAGTTGCATGAGATTCTTACAGAGAAATTCAATTAATGCAAAAAGGACAATTACCTTTTTTTCCCCACAAACATCATTGAAAACTGAAGGATGAGACTATTATTTACACACACTATCTAACCCAAGATACCACTCCCCGCCAAATTGGGCAATTGAATCTCCCTGGATCACTTGTTTATGTTTTAGTTAGAGGCAGAATCCTACAGCAGTAAAAGCAAAGGCTTTGACAAGGGACCCACATGGTTCATGTTATGGCCATGCTGTCTGCCCCCTCTATAGTCTCAAGCCTCAGTTTTCTCACCTATGAGCTAATAGTGTTATTTCAAAGGATTTTAAAAAATACATCCTGCATAGAAAATGATTATTAATAAGCACTAACCTCAGGGCAGTTGATAAATAATAACTATTAACAAAAGTAATAATAATGGGAAACCATGTAGTCTGAAGTCAAAACTGTCTATGTAAAAAGTCTTGGCTTTTGTTCTTTTGTGTGACATTGAAGAAGTTATTTGCCTTTCCATGCCTCAGTTTCCACATTTGTAAAATAGAGATAAAATGGTACCTACTTTCCAGGGTTCCTATGGATAATAAATGGTATAATCACAAAATGCTTATAATATGGCCTTTATAAATATCATCTGTTAGTTTGTTACTAGCCAGTTGATGAGTGTAATAAAGAAATAAAGTGTAATAAAGAAAAAACTTTAGGTAAATTAAATTAAATTAAATTCCACAGAGCATAATTTAATAAGGAACAATTTGCAAATCTAGGCTGGCCCTAGAACCAAAATAGATTCAGAAAGACTCAAAGCTGCCACTTGGCTGGGTAACATTTATAGACAGAAAAAAGGAAGTGATGTATAGAACATGGAAGTCAGGAAAAGAGACAGCTATAATTGTTCAAGTGTGGTGTATGCCTTAATTGAACCTGATTTGAACAGTTGCATGTCTGTGATTGAAGTTTTGGCTGCTGTGACTGACAGGAGCAGCTATTTGTTGCAAAGGTGAATCCCCAAGTTAGGTTCTCAGTTTGTCTATGTATTGAAATAGGTTGCAGTTTGCTATGTGAGGACTGGAGTATGTGAGTAGAGAGGATTTCTTAGGCCAAAGTTAGTTTGGTTGTAAGATTCATTTCAGTCCAACAATCCCCCATGGCCCTAGGTAGAAAGAATTAGCACAAGTTGTTCTCACTCAGAATGACTTACAGTTGGATTGTAAAATGAAGATCAGCTGTTAAATGGTGAATACCTTAAGAGTAGTGATGTTTCCTTCATCACTATTTCCCCAGGGGACACTTGTGGTTGACTGCAAAGTTAGCGTTCAATCAATCAGTTCATCTAAATAAAGTAAAGAAAGTAAATTCATGCAACATTTCAACATGTCATATTCTCACCATCTTTTAATTCCCCCCTCACTAGTCTGAATGGTTCTTCAAGGCAAGAATGGTGGTGCTGCTTTTTAAAAACGCCTGTATCACCAAAATAGCCAGGTACACAGTAGGTGATTAGTAATCATTTGTGGAATAAATAAAAGAATGAATTTTCAAAATGTTTTATTTTGAATATTAGATTTTTTAAAACTCTTTTTTAGTTGTAAGTGGATCTTTTAATTAATTAATTAATTAATTTATATGCAGTGCTGAGGCTCGAACCCAGGGCTTCACACCTGCTAGGCAAGTGCTCTACCACTGAGCCACAACTCCAGCCCCCCAAACATAAGTTTTTTATTAGCATCGAGAGTAAATCAGTATTTTCATATTAGATAAATAGTATCACTTAATTAAAATGGGCAGCATCTTGCATGTGGAATGTTTAGCTGCCACAGTAAATCAGCTGTGTCTAGAGACTCTAATCCTTGCTCCTCAGGCAGATTGTACCACTGGATAACCCAGCTTGCTTTTAAAATATTCATTCTCAGACTCTATCTCAATCTACTGAATTAGTCTCTAAAAATGAGATTAAATAGCTATTTTGTTAACCTTTCTTCAAATATCCCCAAGATTAATATGAAAGTAGGATTAAGAACCTACCTGTACTTATAAATTACTAGCCCTGTAATATTTACCATTTTTAAAAATTTCTGTAAGTCTCAATACCTCATAAAAATGAAGATAACTATTATATCTACCTCCTAAGGTTGAACAATAATTAAATTAAATAATCCCATAAGAAGTTTTGAACATGGTACCTAAAATATTAAAAGCCTTGTTATCATTTTATTAGCAACATCATTTTAACTATTGGCATATAGGCCATACCACTACCTGTGAGGCACTACTGCCATACCTTAGCCCAATATCCTAACTGCAGAGTCTTTTTCTGTGTTTAAATACTTGAAACTGGACCAACTTGCTACTTCTAACTAAACTTTTCAAGTTAAGAACAGCAAATTATAAAATTCCAACCACACTTTCTTTTATCAATCTCTGATATCCAGGCCCAGATTTCTCCCCAGTTCTTTCTCTTTTTTAATTAATCTATTTTAATTAGGTATATATGACAACAGAATGCATTTTGATTCATTGTACACAAAATGCAGCACAACTTTGCATTTCTATGGTTGTATACAATGTAGCATCACACCACATGTGCAATCACACATGTACCTAGGGTAATGATGTCCGTCTCTTTCTATCATCTTTCCTGTCCCCAGTTAATTCTAAGTTACATTATTTGAGCCTCACTTAGGCTTGAGGTCACTGCTTTCAGAGGAAAGAAAAATTACTGTAGGATAAAACTTCCTACATATTATTCCTCCAAAATTGTGAAAAAAATGTGTATTATTCAGATTTGTATCTCTGTGACTGGAATACCTGACAACAACTTAGAGGAGGAAAGTGTACTTCAGGCTCTAAGTTTCTGAGATTCATTCACTGTCAATCATTCACTTTGGCCCTGAGCTGAGGCACAGCATCATGGTGGAATGGCATGGTGGAGGAAAACTGGTCAGCTCCTGGCATTCAGGGAGGGGAGAAAGTGAGGGAGAGCCAGGGACAAAATATAATCTCTAAGGTTATGCCCCCAGTGACCTATTTCTTCTAGTCATGGCTCCACCGGCCTACAGTTACCACCCAGTAATCCATTCAAATTATTAATCCATTAAATGGATCAATCCACTGATTTGGTCACAGCTTTTATAATCTAATCATTTCACCTCTAAATATTCCTGCATTTTATTCCTGATTTGGGGGAACATCTCATATCCAAACCCTTGACAAAAGCTCTGTGTAGGAGATGGTTTTGATTGATAATTTGGACCTATTCATTTCCTGATGTTATCACTCTAAATGTCCTCATGACTCTAGTAGACCTCTGCAGCTTCCATTTCCATGGCACTGAAGGGGCCAAATGAGTATATTTTATGTGAATCATAGCATGCACAAACTCTGTAAGATAAGTTCAAAAACCGATCTACACATTAGAATCAGGGAGAACAGGTGAATATTTATAAGGAAAAATAAATGTTTAAGGTAGAAAAAGACGAAAACCAAAGAATTCCTGTGCTGTTTTCCTCAAGGATGCTCATTTTCCCAAACATAAACATCTGTTTATCTTATAAATATTTACCCATTTTCCCTATAACTAATGAACAAACTGGATTTTGAATTTATCCTTGAAAGATATAAGAATCCCACGGCTAAGAGTACAGAGGTGGAAGTAAAACAGAAACAACATTCTGGAGTTGAGATCATGTCAACAGAGTGTCTACCCATTTCATCTTCCCAATGACACCGAGAGGGAGTACTGTCATCCCAGTAGTACAGATGAGGAAATGGAGACAGATGAAGGAGAGACTTCACCAATGTACAGAACCATTGGGTGGCAGAATCCCATGAGACTCAATGCATGGGTTGCTTCATTTCATGGTTCGTCTCCTTCTATTACGATGTTTTGTGTAGCAGAGAGAAGCAGCCCACAGCCATCAAAACCATTTTAACTAAAACAGAATATTGTAATTCATGTGTAAGAAAATCTCCAAAAACAATTTTCAAGGCTCTGAGGGAAGTGTTTGCTGTGTGAGATGTGACCCTGGGCTGCCTAAGGAGATGCATAGTTGTGACAGAACAGGGTTTTCTTCATTTAGAGGTCATGAACAAAATGATTTGGGCCTTTGGAGGTGAAAGAAATTGGCGATGGGGTAGGAATGATTTTTTTCATGTTTTAATTTTTATAAGATTCCTTTTAAAAAATTATTAAGGAAAAAAAGGTGATTCTCATGAGAAATATCACAGAGCAATCCTATTTTATCAGATAAGGAAGACTAACTTTTTACTCTATCATAAGAAGAATAAAGCTGTATAAAAATGTTTTGGTTAACATGTATTAACTGTATATACTAATAGGTTCAATGTGATATTCCAAAACATTCACACTGTGCACGCCAATCAAATTCAGCCTTCCTTTATCCACCTTCCCTTCTCCCCTTCCCCACCTCTAGTATTCACTAGTCTACATTCAGGTCAGCTTTTTAAATAGAAGTTCCACATATAAGAGAGAATGTGTGGGACTTGTCTTTCCATGTCTGGCTTATTTTACTTAAAATATTGTTCTCCAATCCCATCCATTTTGTTCCAAATGATAGGATTTACTTCTTCTTTGTGTCTGAATGATTTTCTATTATATATATATAGACAACATTTTCTTTATCCATTTGAACACTGATGGACATCTAGGTTGATTGAATATCTTAGCTATTGTGAATAGTGCTGCAATAAACATGGACATTCAGGTTTCTCTTTGACATACTGATTTCATTTCTTTTTGATATATACCCAAAAGTGAGGTAGCTGGATCATATGATAGATCTACTTTTAGCTTTTTGGGGAGACTCTATACTGTTCTTCATACTGGTTGTGCTAATTTATTTTCTCACCAGAGTGTGTAAGAATTGCTTTGTTTCCACATTTTCACCAACATTTCTCATTTTTTTTGTTTTTGAATAATGGTTATTCTAACTGGAATGAGATGGTGTCTCATTATAGTTTTGATATGCCTTTCCCTGATGGCTATGATTTTGAGCACCTTAGTATGTATTTCCTCTTTTGAGAAGTGTCTCTTCAGATCATTTTTAATTAAATCCCTTGTTTTTAAGGTTTTGAGTTTCTTATATATCTAGATATTAATTTTTTGTCAGATGAATAGTTGGCAAATATTTTTTCCCATTCTTTAGATTGTTTCTTCATTCTGTTGATTGCCTTTGGACTATTATTAAGTAAAACAAGGCTTACTTGAACTCAAGCAACAGTGATGCTGTGATACCATGACAGTAGAACTGATAACCAAGGCATGTACCAAGTAACCTACAGATGGATAATTTATACAGGATGGATACACTGGACAAAGAGATGATTCATGTCCAGGCAGGACAGAACAAGACGGAGTAATATTTAATCACTCAATTTGTGCTGAAGCTTTTTTGTTTGATGTAATCCCATTTGTCTATTTTTGCTTTTGTTTCCTGTGCTTTCATATTCATATCCCAAAAAGTATTTCCTATGCCAATATTTCAAAGTGTTCTCCCTATGTTTTCCTCTGGTATAGATTTATAGTTTCAGGTCTTATATTTAAGTCTTTGACCCATTTTATGTTGATTTTTGTGCAAGGTGAGAAATAAGGGTCAAGGTTCAATATTCTGCATGTGAATATCCTGTTTTCTCAGCGCTATTGATTATAAAGACTGTCCTTTCCAGAATATGTTTTTGTTACCTTTATCAAGAATGCTTGGCTGGGGCTGAGGCTGTAGCTCAGTGGTAGAGTGCTTGCCTAGCACATGTGAGGCACTGAGTTCAATCCTCAGCATCACATAAAAATAAATAAATAAAACAAAGGTATTGTTTCCATCTACAACTAAAATAAATAAATAAATATATAAAGAGAACACTTGGCCTTAGTTGCTTTGCTTATTCCTGTGATCTCTATTCTATTCCACTGGTCTATGTGTCTGTTTTTATGCCAGGATCATGCCATTTGGGTTACTATGGCTCTGTAGTTCATCTTACAATCAGGTATTGTGATGGCTCTGGCTTTGTTCCTTTTGTTCAAGGTTGCTTTGACTGTTCAGAGGCTTTTGTGCTTCCCTGTAAATGTTAGGATTGCTTATACAAATAAAGGTTTTCTTCAAAGCATTTTATATTTTCCTATCCATTCCTCAAAATCTTACCATGTGCTGACAGGAAAACCTCCCTTAGAAAGCTCAATGGCTCCCTCTCTTAGCAAAGGCCCAGTGAGAAGGGTATTAAAAAGATGATATTCAGGGAGATCTGTACCCAGAGGGACAGGTTTTGAGTCATTATTCACAGACTTGCTGTGATATCCTCTGAATTATCTCTGTGCTTTGG